TTACCCAAAGGTAAAAACCGTGCAAAACTATAAATGGTTTAGGGATGCATACATGTGCAGTAAAACTAAAAAGAAAAGCAAAGAAAACAGAAACAGGAATTCAGAATTAGTGGTTACTCCTGGGAAGAAGGGAGTAAAGATGAAAGGAGGGAGAACTATAGAATCAGAAAAAAAAAAAATGTAGATAGAAGATGGCATCTGTAAGCAGTGGCTCCAAGAGTATAAGGGATGTTTTATTTTTAAGTCAGATGATGAATATGCAAGCATACATTTTACAGCTTACATATATTTCATACGCATGAAATATATCATAAAAATCTTCAGTGTATTTCCACTAATTTGAGCTTAACAGCCAAGGCGCCAACTGTTCCAGACCTGCAGGCCCAATCCCTCCCCTTCTAGCCTGCACTTTCCTTTGTCTCCAACGCCATTCCTCTGGCATCTCCATCTGAATAGTTAATTCCAACTTGCCCTGTAGACCTAAAGATACCCTTGTGGCCCTTCCCCAGACTAGATCCTTCCCTCTGGCTGCACTCCATACATTCTAGCACTTATCACATTATCAAGGAGATAACCAGCAGCTCCACCACCCCACCACCCCTGCCCCGGAGGGTGAGGACTCAAAAAGGGCAAGGAAGACCACGGTCTGACTTGTTCATCTCCCCCACTAGGCTCTACACCATCCCTTGCACACTGTAGGGTTAATCGAAGTTTTCTGGAATGGATGAAGGGGCAGAAAAACAGATATGAACAAAGAGCACATCTCACATTAGTCCAGTCTTCTACCCTTTCCCTATTCCCAATTCCCCCCTCCACTCCTGCTCAAACAGTGGACATGGCTTGATGGTTAGATTAAGGATAAAAAAGAAGAGGGGTATGCAGTTATGCTTTAAAACCAGGGTCCTCTAAAGGCCTATGTTACGTAATTACTCTTGGCAGTGGTGAGAAAATTAGTTGAGAAACTGCAAAAAGAAAAAAAAAAAAAAAACACCCTGAAAAATAATTTGTGCTGCCTTATGAAATCTGAACTTCATCAAAACCACTGTTTGAGAGGACAGATTTTATTACTGAAAGCAATTCCCAAAGAGCTCATTTTTAATCTGCTGTATAGCATTGCCCTTTTTAAGTTGGTCTATTTAATTAAAAATCATCAAATAGAAACTATGTCCAGAATGTTCATACTTATCTGTATCAATACAAAGGAAAGGGACACTGACTTTTAATTACTGAGCGATTAGAAAAGGATGCATATTTCTTTTAATGTGAAACAAGTTTTTAAAATTTATCATTATAAAAATTTTTTAATGCACATAAAAGAAAAAATATCATAATAAATCCCCAGGTATCCATCACATACTCTCCAAAATCATCAACATTTTGCCACCTTGTTTCATCTGTCCCATTAACGATTGCTGGAGTATTTTAACATCAGACCATTTCACTCATAATTAAGCAGGTAAGGATGTTTTTCTTTCTTATAGAAGCATAAGGCTATTTTCACCTAAAAAGATAACAGTTCCCTAAGATCATCCAAAACTCAGTCCACATTCTTATTTTCCCAAGTGTCTCAAAAATGTCTTTTTATAGTAGGTTTATTTGAACCAGAAAACAAACAAAATCCATTTTACATTTAGTTGTTATGTTCCTAATCTAGGAAAGTCCTCCTTTCCCACCTTGCTTTTCCCACCCACCCTTCCTATGACATTTATAATTATTAAAGACACAAAGTTAATGGTCCTGTAGAATCTTCTACACTCTGGATTTGGCTAACTCATGGTGTTACCATTCTCCTTCACCCTTCCCATTCCTTTAAGCTGGAGTTAGGTCTAGAGGCTTGATTACATTCAGTTCAATCTTTTTTTTTTTTTTAGCTTCCTTTTGAATTAGGTGTATAATTGCTGGTTTACCCATTTTTAGTGATCCTGAAACTATTCAGAAGATGGAGCAATGTTAAATTCATGTTTCAGCATCCATAGATAACCTTTGCCTACAGTCATTACTTCATTTGAGGAAACTCAATGGTGGGCTTTCTAATTATGCTATTTCTTCTGTAATTATTAGCTAGGATTCTGTTATAAGAAATTTTCCACATCAAGCATCTGATTATTCCACAATAAAATTCATTTAGGGAAGCCAGATAAGTGCCTTGATTCTTTATCTTAACAATTTTCAGAATGAGTCCACTGTCCTAGTAATCATCAGTGGTGACCTACTGGTTGTTTCTTAATGATTACAACTCCATGTAATGGGTGGAAATATACATGTAAGCGTATCATCTCTCTACACATTGTCTCCTCTAAACTTTTGATGTTCATTCCATTGGCTTTTCATAGTTTTCTGACACAAGAGGATGTCTTAGATTCATCTTGTATGTTTCTTCTCAGTCCTGGAATCAACAATCTCTGCAAAGATCCCATTTCCTTGGTATTTAGAGGCAGTAATCTGGGCACTAAGGATATTCACTGTGACTGAGTTGTCACTGCTTTTTGGTCTTTATAGTCCAAAGAACCAGGATATATGTACTTTTCTAAACATAGAAAAATATATGAGTCTGTACAGATATGTCTCAATTTTAAAATAAAATCTCTTTTTAACTTATTCTCATCATTTTCTCTTACATAAAAATTTTTGGTTTCTGATAACATAATTACTGTTATGCTTTAACCTACAATTTATTATGAGTTTTTAAAAATTTAAATAATTAGCCAACATACAGTACATCATTAGTTTCAGCTGTAGAGTTCTATAATTCATCAGTTGCGTATAACACCTACTACTCATCAAATCACGTCATACTCTTCTTAATGCCCATCACCCATTTACCCCTTTCCCTACCCACCTTCCCTCCAGCAACCCTCAGTTAGTTTTTTAGAGTGAAGAGTCTCTCATGGTTTGTCCCTCTGATTACTACCCATTCAGTTTTCCCTCTTTTCCCATATGATCCTCTGTGCTGTTTCTTACATTCCACATATGAATGAAACAATACTATAAGAGTTTCAAAATAACAATACTGATCTTTCTGAATACAGTTTACAACTTCTTTGCAATTCTTTTTGTTTATCAGATGTATCTCATTTGGTTATGGACAATCACAATACTGTATTTTAAAAGTAACTAGAAATAATTATTTTCAATACCTAGTTATGATGCCAATTTGATATACCATTAGATTAATTTGTTTGTTTTCAATTTTTAGCAATTGCTTTTTTCTTTTTTAATTAAATGGTGATTTTTAATTTTGTAAAATATTTCAACTGTTCCAAGACCAAAAGTATAATACAAATTATATTGGAGAAATTATCCATCCTTGTCCCCTCTCCCGATTATTTCTTCCCCACACCCTTTAAAGGTAACTACTTTTATTAGCTTTTGGATTATCTTCCCACTGTTTCTTTTTTGAAATATATACAGAAATAATTATATACATATATACACATATATATACACATATATATACACATATATATCCATGTATATATAAAATATATATAAAATTCCTCCGTCTCACATAAACATAAATTCTAAATATACTTAAATAGCTCTGCCAATAATTCCATAGGATAACTTCACTGGATATCAGTTCATAGCTAAACTAAAAAAAAACTTCTAGTTTCACGTGATTCAAAATTATCAAATAAGACTGTACATATGTTTCCTATGTATGTTTCCTTCCAGATCTAAAGTAGGAGGCATGGGGTTCTAATTTCTAGACATGATTCACTCACCAACCTACTTTGGAGACAAGCACAGAGTTTGAGACCCACAATGAGTATATGACAGGAGACTACAGATAGAGCGGGAGTAGTCATGCATGAAACTCATTCTTGACCCAAAAATATTCCATTACAGTTTCCATCTATTTAAATCTATCACCTCCTCTTCTTTAAAAAAAAAAAAAAGTTTTAAAGCTTTGAGTTCACCCCTTTGTAAAGCAAATCAAATCATGCTTTTTATTAAATATTTGTTAAAATCTACATTTTGAATCTACAACCCTCAAAATATTAAGCAATATACTTATTAAGGTCATGAGAACGGAAAGCCTACTGAGTTAAAGCAGTGGCTTCCAAACATCGCTGCATGCTGGAATCATCTGGGAATCTACATAAAGCTTGGTTCCAGCTCCCAGACATTGAGACCTGGGTATGAAGATTTTTTAAAGGCCCTTAGGTGATTCTAGTAGGTTAGAATCCAACACATACACTCTAGGCTCCAGTCACACCAAGGGACCTACGGAGTGCCCGAGCATGTCCTGCTCTTTCACAGATCTGCGCCTGTGGAGATGCTTCTCTCCACCAGACATGCCCTCTTCCCTTTGGGCTGCCAGTGGATTTCTACTAATTGTCCAAGACTCAGCTCAAATGGCATCTCTCTTGTGCCCTCTCTGTACCTTCTAGACACTTCTTTTCAATATGATCACACTGAATTAAATGGTTTGCTTGAATGTCGAGAACTACTACCATAAATTAGCACCTGAGTCTTATTCATATTTGCATCTTCAATGACTAGCATATGCCTGGTCCATAACATGTGCAACCAGTATGGACAGATCTAGCTGCTTCTTTTTTTGAGAGAGAGAAAGAGAAGTGTGTGTGTGGGGGGGGGGGGGGGGGGGGTTTTTTTTTTTTTTTTTTTTTTTTTTTCAAGAGAGGGAATGTGAACAGGGGGAGGAGGAAAGGAAGAGAGAGAATCTTAGGTAGGCTCCACACCCAGTATAGAGCCTGACATGGGGCTTGATCTCACAACCCTGAGATCATGACCTGAGCCAAAACCAAGAGTCAGATACTCAACTTACTGACCCACCCAGGTGCCTCCAGACCTGGCTTTTTAAATACAATTAAAACTTCAAGATATTAAACAAAACAAACAAAAAAAAGTGAATGCTTTAGCAACATAGGATTACAAAGTGAAGAATATCTATCACATCCTATTTGTTGTAAAATCCAGAAAGACTCAACAGACACAAGATTGAAAACTAGTTTTCTCCATAATCACAGTTTTGGGGGGGAAGCTTTACACTTATTTTAAATTGTAATAAAAATCTTACTGCACTAACCTACTCCAGAATTTAGGTGACTAAATACCCACAAGGAACTATATCAAGTCCAATTGTGTCCTGGAAGAAAGGAAGAGAGGAGGAAGCGAGGGAGGGGAAAGAAAAGAGATCTCTTTAGCTGAGAAGTCTGTTGCACAGTTAAACATAAATGCAATTTCCAAAGGGAACAAACTGATGTTAAATGCATGACTCACTGTCAGTCTGCATTAATATATTTATGGGCATCCATCATTATAAACTTTTCAGCTTCTATCTTATCATAGGAGTAAATCATTAATTTTTTAAAGTAAGCAGGTCTTAACCATATAGCACATCTTTACTACAAAACGTATAGTTAAATACATTCTCTACCCAATGAGATACTAAGAGTTGCATACTTACTTCAAAGCTAAGTTTTCATAAACAAAAACTTTAAGTAGATCAAATCTTTAAAAATTAAATTCAGCAAATTGATAAGATTACTATTTGACAATGAAGACAAATGTTAACTATTTTTAAAAACTGTAATAAGTACATGGGAAACTAGATACTGATGTAAACATTAAGCTGAGTCAATGTCACCTTGAAAGTCATTCCTGACTGTCAATAGCACCATGTTGTAAGTCATGAAGTACAGAAACAAAATTCTCAGTTCACCCCTTCTTCTTCTTGCTGGGTTGTTTTTAAATTTTCCTATTCTTCCACTGCTATATACTCAGCCAGGCTAAGCCACAGGTATTTAATGGGCTCAAAAGACATAATGGCCTCTGCGGACAGCAGTTAAGCAATGGAGAGAAGAATCGGATTCTTGCTTTGATGCTAAGTTTAGAAGCCATGCACACAGATAATGTCTGTGTTTTTCTTTCTTTCCATTTCACCAAGCACTTCATTCCTCAGGCCTAAAATATATCTAGGTCCCAGGTCTTGGATTTCTCCTTTTCACTTCACACCTTCTCATCTGATTATCTGAAAATTGATTAGACATTTTCTCAGTTATCAAGTGATGAAATGGGTAAGTGCAGGTTTCCTAACTTGTTCTCTATCTCTCTAACCCTAGTATAATAAGATATAATTATATATATATATATATATATAAATTATATATTATAATAATAATAGCACATATTTGTTTATATTGTTGGTTCTGTTCTAAGTACTTACAACAACCCTATAACATAGACTACTCTTATCCTCAGTTTGCAAATGAAGAAAGCTTAGGAGAAATAAGTAACTTGCCCAAGGTCCCACAGCAGATAAGTTACAGAGCCAGGATTCAACCCAAAATTGACTGAAACTAGGCTGCTCATCCTTATTCTATACTATTACCCATGGGGAAAAAACGACCCATTGTTTGCTATTCTTGAACATGTTGGTGGGGGGAAAAAAATAAAAGGAAATCAGCTATGCTTGTTCACTTACTTATTTAACAAATTTTTATTAGCTCCTCAAAACTCTCACTTGCCCTTACATCCTTTTAAGTGTTTCTGAGTATTTGTTATAGAGACATGCTTTGAATATATGCTGTATGTCTCCTCAATGAAAAAAATGCCAAATATTTGGTATTATGAAACTAAGCCTTAAGTTAATCACCAGAAATTCTTCCTCTTCACAGTCTTTCACAGTCTTACAGAGGGTATCCTACAGTGTCTTTATTCATCACGCTGCTTAGCATACTTTGATTTTTACTAACGAATGTGAGAAGGACAAGTATATCGTAGTGGGGCCAATCCCCCTTTCTTCCTTGCTCACAGAACCCTAATTTTGTCCTTCAGGGGAAAAGCTCTGTCCCTTCCTCACCCCTGGGCCAAATCTTGTTTAGGTGAAGGCAGGAATGGTTGCTTGTCTCCTCATAGGGGACACGGTTAGGACTGGGCATACAATGCTCTTCTAGCTACACAGATGTGAAGAAGCATGTCTGCTGGAGAACTTTGAGGAAGCTTTTCCTCAAAAAAGTCCCAAGACAGGGACATTCACTTTTTTTGCCCTTTGACCTTGAAAGGTGATAAGATGATAGTTGCGACTATAAGCAGCATAAGGAGAAAAGAATATCCACTGAGGATAACAGTGCAAAGGCAAGGACAACTTGGGTATTTGACGGCATTGTCAAGCCTGAATAACCAAGCCAGCACCCATTCCACCTCCAGATACTTGGTTGTGTAAGATAATAAACTCTGATTGTTGGACCTGCTTTTAGTTGTAGTCTCCATTACACAGACAGCCGAGGCACCCTAAATGATGTAAGCACTTATCAAAAATTGCACCTGAAAAGAAATTAAGGGGAAAAAAAGCCTGAAAGAAAAAAAAAAAAACAAAAACAAAAAACCCAAAAGACGTCTTTAGCTCAAAAAAAACCCAGTTACATCATTATAGAATGATATAAACCTGACTTCACAGCAGTTCAAATAGCAGAGATGGAGGTGCCTTACCAGTGGATTCAAAGTAACCCAACACTATCACAGGGCCAAGAAACGGACAGGAAGCCAGGTTAGGTAATATTAGAGCCAGAGGCTTAAGATTATGGTGTCAAAGCCTTAAAAAGCTCAGCACTGATCATCACATTTCTAGAATTAAATAATGTAGGCAATGTCAGAAATGACTATGAAAAAGGGAAAAATGTGAAGAAATTTACCAAGAGGGTAAAAGATACAGACACCATGTAATCTGAAGACAGGCTAAAAGAATTACAGATACAGAGTCTGGAACAGGAAACTAAAAGGGGTCATGGTGGCCATTTTCAAGGGTTCCCTGGAAAAGGGGGACTGGACTCACTCTCATCACTTCAGAGAAAAGCATTAAAAAAATAGTTGCTTGACAGACAGTAGATTTGGGCTTAAGATGGCAATTTTTCTTAACCATTAGAGCAATCTAAAGTCAAATAAGTTATTTCGTGAGATAGTGTGATCCCCTTTCACTGAGATAAGTAAAGGCTGAGTGACTGTCATCAGCAACATTCTAGGGCAGTATTTCCCAGAGAATAGTAGTACCCACACCACTGGATGTACACAGATGGTTTTAACTGGTACATACATTTCACTTCATTCATTACATATTTATTTTAATGTACATTTAAAAACTAATAAATGTACCTTTTAAGTTAGTTATCAGTTCCACGGCTTCCTAAATATAACTGTTTTAGGATAAGTGAAATAACAAGTAAGGATCATTTTAAAAATATATTAAATCAATATACCTCATTTAACATAATTAGACATATTATTTTATGACCTGTTGGCTATAGTCCTAGAATTTATAAGACAAACAATATAAAGCACCAAAGATTTTTAAAAAAAGAAAAAACCTTTTGAGAGGAAAAATGTTAAAGCAAAACAAACAAACAAAAAAAATAAGTAGTATCAGAAAAAAGCAAAAATCATAAAGATACCACAAAAATGTCCAAATTGTGGACATGATGCTTTGTGGGGATTCTTGCATTGACAATCCTGAAACTAAAATTTCTTCTTTACCAAAGTTGTTTTCAGTGATTCTATGAAAACATGATCATTTATAAGTACATTTATTCAAAGAGGCTTCACCATAAAATAGAGGAACTAAAATTTTCCATTATTTTCAGTCATAATCTTAGAGATACTGATTTTTAATAGCAATAGCTACACAATGATTTCTGGAATCCTCACACGACTAATCTTTTTATTACAAAAGACTAATATTCTTGCATCTAATAAGCACTGACGGGAGGCCTTCCATGGGCCAGACGCTGTGGCAGACAAAAGTTTGAACGTAAATGTGCAAGTTTTCATTTGAAGGATCTACTGCTACCTTGAGGAAAATTTTTAAACATTTAAACTACAACACCAAAAGGGATTATCTTTACCATCACGTCCATTAAAAATACATATGTAGTTTTATAGGATTGAAAACCAAACTATTTCCTACACTACATATATATATATATATATACACACACACACACACACACACACACACACACACACACACACAGAACCTACACACATGAACTGGCTTTCAATTCCCAATTTCTTCAGTAAGCTCTGTCTCATAATCAGTAGTTGATGTTCTTGCTCCAATATATTCTGAAAATCCTTCAGAACCTTCCTGAAGCCCTAGAGGCAATCTTGTGAAGTCTTTGTGAAAAGTCCGCCTACCTCTGTCTCCAGGCAGTCTTAGGGCAGGCATATCCAGGGGTAGGAAAGTGACAGGCCTCTCTCGAGGAAATGGGGCCACAGCATACTTACAGTACTGGAGGCGTTCTCACGGACTAATGAGAAGCCTGACCTTTTCTTCTCTCCTAGTTTCTTGGGCCAAGATGTACTTTATGTTTCAATAATCAAATAATAAATGACATCCAACATGTATAAGAAATACCAAACTTAAACTTCCTGTCCCCATATTTCCATCCCCAAGTGGATTTCATCCAAAGAAAAATAATCAGCCCAGGAAGACTGCCTTCCTACCTCCTGAGTGTGTTCCTTGTAGACTTGCAGGGGCCCCGTGGCCTTGGCAGTGTCCCACAGCTGCAGCGAGCCATCGCCACTACAAGTGACCAGGACATGTTCGTTGTTCTCACTCCAGGTTACGTCAAACAAACCATCGTTCCAGTCAAAGCTACACCAGGAAAGGTGAAAACAGAACACATGGCTATTCAGGCAGCCGAACATAAGATAACAATCATAATTTTACAGCTTTTCTTCAAGTTTATCACATATTATTTCACAAAGTCTTCATGATTATAGAAGATAAGCACAGCAAACACTTGACAGATAAAGAATGCATTCAGAGAGGTGGAAAAAAACAGCCCAGGGTGCCTGGGTGGCTCAGTGGGTAAGCATCTGCCTTTGGCTCAGGTCATGATCTCATGGTCCTGGGATCGAGTCCCGCATTGGCCTCTCTGCTCAATGGGGAGCCTGCTTTCTCCCTCTGTTCCTTCCCCCTGCTCGTGCTCATTCTCTCTTTCTCTCTTTCTTGCAAAAATAAATAAAATCTTTAAAAAACAGATTAATAAAAAAAGAGAAAAGAACAGCCCAGGTCATATATAATCACAACAGAAAACTGCAGAGCTAGATTAAAATTAGGTCTCCCATCTAGAAATTGGGCACGATTTATGTGAGACCGTGATGCCATACCCGGGTGCTCACTGGTTTTTGTGGTAGATAGGAGGGAGCAGCAAGCACTTCATAATACTAATTTAGACCAATTATTTCAACTTTCCACATAAAATTTTCACCTCAGCTATGAGCAGGTAATTATCTTCTGATAGGATTTGCTTTCTTTTCTCTGACACTGACTAACCCTGCCAGAAGAGTTAATAAGTCCAACAGTTAAGACAGTCATAGAAAGAAGAAAGGGCAAGAAGTGCTTAAGTAACTCACAAAATGGACTATCAGCTCCTGAATGAGTAAAACTAAACTATGTGAAGAAGACAGCAAAGTTAGAAATGTCCCACAGTATACTAAACAGTTTACACACTTTTTTTATGTTTGGCCCTAAGAGACAAGGCCTTTAGAAGAAAAATTAATATAATCACAACTTACTGGCAAAAATATGTTCTATACCATGCAAATGCTGACTTTTTTTTCTACTGCAAATCTAAAAATTAAAAAATCTTTTACTCATCAAAAAGATTCAAAATCTAATTATATTAAGGCTTTAATAGCAACAGAGAATACATGTAAGTTTAATCCTGAGAGCCACCTTACCTTCTAAAAAGTCTAAGCCCAGATTCATTTTGATCCAATATTAGAAGGGTCCCACAGCCTAAGGGGGGGGGAAATCAAAGTTATGCTGTTGAACTTGTCAGGAGAGCATCTAAGATCAAAGGGGATGGAGCACTGAGCATCTAATTTTACTACCACAAATTCCTCCCTAGTTATTGAGACTATGTATACAAAATGATCAGAACTGTGCTTTCCATTTCTTTCTATACTATGCCTCAACCATGAAAAATTAAACTTATCTTACCTATGTCTGGAATCCAGACACAGCTCTAACAGAGGAGAGATATTTGAATTCATATTCTGTGGCCAGGCAGGGTGTGAGGCACATAAACTCCCACACAGGTGTTGTCATCTGTTTTTACACTTGAGAAACCTTTGGCCTACAGACTCCAGAAACTCCTCCCCTCCTTCTACTACATTACACTGCCTCACCAATAAACCTAAAATACATTCAACATGGGATCTTAAAGCAAAATACCTAGTGGAATTTACCACATACTAGGCGGTAAAGTGCTGAATACTATGTTATCTACCAAAAATGAATTATTTCACTAAGGGACAAGCATATTTTAAAACTTGTACTTGTTATACAGACTGAGGGAGTAAAAACACTCTATTTACACACGACTGATTTTTTTTTAATATCAACTCCTTATAAGTTTTTACAAAGGATTTAATTTAAAATAACAAACTCATGAGTTTCAACCTAACTAGTGGGCAAGTATTGTAAATCTGAATGTGCAAATGCAAGCAGTAAGAGCTAAGTGGTGAAAACATAATTAAATCTTTCTTGCCCTCTGAGTTTTAGAAATCACATTTTTTTTTTCAGCTGTAAGACCAAAAACAAACAACAACAACAACAAAAACAGAAAACAAACTATCAAAAGCTGACATTATGCACGGAGCTTCAGTGCGTAAATAACAGCTAGGATACAAATTAAAAGTTGCAAATTTACGAATGGAACCCCGCCTTTCAATCTAGTCCTTGAAAAGAGACAATGAATTTGAACCTCCAGCAACTTCTTGCAACTGTGGGTATTGCTCCAGAGACAACAAAAGTGGGGGCAGACTTGGATCAATTGTTAGAAGCCAAGAGTCCGCTGAGGGCCACCCAGACAGCCTGGAGATGCATACTGTGGGGATGGGGGACTCATTAGCAGGTAGTGGGAGGGCCCACAGGGGTGACGCTGCAGACCGTCGCCTTCCAAGGAGGGTTCACAGCGCCAAGCCGACTCCCTACAAGTGGCTTGTGCCTGGAGGTGGGGGTAGGGTAGAGGATCAGGTGGCGGTGGAGACGGTGCGCTAAGGAATAAAGACACGAGCCAGTAGGCACCTCCCACGAGCTGCTTCCGCACCGTAACTGGGAAAAAACCATGGACTTCGGTCTCCAGACCCACTTTCCACACCGGACAAAGGAGGAAGCGGGAACTGGCCCGTTCCCAGGCTCCCCCTGGTGTTCATTTGTAGCACTGTCTACTGTCGGAAGTGATTTTCCGAAGGCAGCGTGAAGCTGGGGCTCGACGGGAACCCGCCCCCGCCCCGGCGGCGCGGCCTCACCCGCGATGCCGTAGTGCTGGGCTGCGGCGCAGGCAAGCCGGCCCGGCAGGTACGGGGAAAACTCGGCCGCGTAGCCGTGGCGGCCCGGCACCCGCAGCGTCCGCACCGCTCCGCCAAGCGCCCCGCTCATCCCGCCGGCCGCCTCCGGGCCTCGCCGCCCACGGGTCGCTACAGCTGTTCCGGATCGGAAGCAGACAGCTCCGGCTTGCCGAGTGGAGAGGCCCAGGAAGACGAGGCGGAAATGAGGTCACCCGGAGCCCTGAATGCTAGATTTCGATTGGTCCGCAAAGGAAAGGGCCTTGACTCTGACTGAGCCCATTTTTGTTTGGGGCAAAACAAAGAGATTGGCGCCACCTACCCTGAACTGTGATTCTAGGATTAGGTGATGATTCTGACAACTTCTGTTTTTGCGTATCAGCTTTCTCTGCGGAGTTTTTTTTGGCTTTTATTAGTTCATTGAGATTTCGGAAGACTGGCATCAAGAAGTGTTTCTGACGATTACAAAGTAAGACAAGCTACAGCAACTCTGAAACCAAGCAGCGAGCAAAAAGGCAATTGAGTGCTGTGTTGTCCAAGGTAACTTGCAGCAATGTTAAATCAGGCAGGAGTGAAGCTAGGAAAAAAAGATATCATAAGCAGTTAACTTTTTAAAAATTCTCACTGTGTATATTGTATAGTAACTAATGCTCAGGTGCGAGGCTAAGGAAAATTAAAGTTCATTCATTCATTCATTGAAACATTTACAAAGCATGTGCTATGCAGAAGGTGACTATATATAATTTATTTGTCACATATGACACTGTTGAGAGTGAAAGAGAATGCAGTTAATAATGAAGCCAGGGAAACCTGCACAAACCTTGTCATATGGGTCAGCTTAACTATACACCAAGTACAGTTTTAGGTACTTAGGGTTTAAAAGCTTTAGGTACTTGGGGTTTAAAAGCAATAAGATGTCCTCTAGAGATGGTCTAACCTGTCAACAATTAACTGTGATCAAAATACTGTAGGTGCTATTAGAAATATATACAGGTATTTTTAAAAGGAAGTTGTCAGTGCTGGAGGAACAGCTTCAGAAAGAAGGTATTTGTTTGTGATAAGTAAATGATGAGGTTTTCTTTAAACAGACAAGGAGATGGAGGTCATTGTAGGATCAAGAATAACATGAGCAACGCAAGAGATGGAAAGAAAGAAAGGGAAAGAGGGAGGAGGAGGGAAGGAACATGATCCATAGAAGACTGTAGCTACCAGGACTCAGCCTAGCCAGATAGAGAAGGGCTAAGGTGAAGACTTGGGTGAAGAGACTAGAGTATTGTACTGGGGCTGGATCACGAAGAGTCTTACATGCTATACTAACTATACTAATGGAATTGGATGTCTACTGGAATTTAAACAATGGGGAACCATCAGAGTTTTCAGTGTGATAAATTACATGTTCATTCTAAAAGATCTTTTGTGTCAAAAAGTTTCCTGGATAAATGTCCAAAATATTACTCTAAGTAACAAATGTCAACCCCACAAGCTTCCATACTGTATTATTTCATTTATATAATGTTCTTGAAATGACATTATAGAAATGGAGAACAGATTAGTGGTTGCCAGGGGTTACAGATGAGTGTAAGTGGTTGGCCATAAAAGAATAATATGAGGACTACTTTGGGTGATGAAAAAGTTCTGTCTATTGAATGTCAATGTTAATACCCTGGTTGTAGTATTATATTGTAGTTTTGCAATATAATACCATTGGAGGAAACCGAGTGAAGCGTACACCAGAACTCACTGTCCTGTTCCTTATAACTGCATGTGAATTTAAAATAATCTCAAAACAAAAGGTTTAATTAAAAAATAATAAGAGATCTTTTGGCAACACTAATTGGGAGGACAGAGATCAGAGATGAGGAGGCCAGTTAAAGGACTTTATCATTTGTTCAAACAAAAGATTATAGTAAGGGGAGTGTAAAGTAGAGTCAGATGAGATTTTAAGGCAGTAACTTAAAATAAATAATACACAAGGAACAAGGAGATGTCAAAATTATTTCCGAATTTCTGACTTTGGTGTGTGGGTCAGTACAAGGACTCTTCACTGAAATAAGGACCATGGGAGGAGAAGCAGGTATGGAAAGAAAATGAGCTCCAGTTTTAACACATTGAATGTGAATTTCTTATGGACTACTGGACATTGCAGTCAGAGACTAAGGCAAGAGTTCTATTTGCCTGTAGAAGATACATAAGTCATGGAGAGAATTGTCCTCACTCAGGAAAAGAGTTTTTTTGAAAAGAGAAAAGAGCCAAAAATAGAACCTTGGGGAAAACATGCATATGTAAAAGTTGTCAGAGGAAGAGGAGTTAGGGACAGATAGGGGAGACACACAGATGGATCCTATTAGTTAATTAATCAGTTTGTTCAGAAATACAGCTTGAATTAGGAGGGTTTGCGTACGACACATACCCTCTACTGCATTTGTTTCATTATTTTCATGACTTTTGCCCTTGTGGGAACCTGAGACCCCAAGATTGTTGATGTCACTTCACTCTCATCTCCCATATTTTGTGTTTTTGAAAGTGGCCCAAGATGGCTTGTGAGCTTCTGAATCAGGGTCAACATCGTGGCTGCAGTCACTTACTTTATTAGACACAGACAATTTCCATTCCAATTTAAACTACATCAACTTGACCAAATAAACACAGAGTGGGAGCCCTCAAGTTCTTTAAACTTACAGTCACAGAGAAGACAAGAGACCCAGACAGCTAGTCAGTCATGAGTGTCTGCACCTGCAAACAAGAAGGAAATTAATAAGCCAGTCCCCAGACTTTCCTTCTAGGAGTAGCCACTTCACGTGGAAGGGTGTGCGGAAGAAGCACCAAGTGTGACCATCTTATTTAGTGTTTTAAGCACAGTGAAATCCTCAACATTAGTTGGAATTAAATTCCTATAAGCTTAAGAAAAGTTTTAATGTCATTTAAAGATGTTAACATAATGGCAAGGCCTGAAAAACCTTCCTCTGCTAGAAAGTAAGGAAGTGCACGAAAACATTATAAAGACTGTGGAAAGGTTACAGGAACTCTCTGGAAGGGGCCTTTCCTGGGCATATATGGGCCAGTTAAAATATTGCTTGTTACAGATTATAACCTACTAAATAAAGTAAGAATCTAAGAAACCAGACCGAAAAGAATAATGTGAGAGGAGGCAGTTTTTCTTTATGGTAGAGTTCCTATTGATAAAGACAGAAAAAATGACAAAAATCACAAGATAATCATTTGGCAATCACCATAATAATTATTCTAGGCAAGAATCGTCAATGGATGTTAAAACTAGTGGGAGGAAGTATAAAGAGAAAAAGGATGTTTGCATAATCTCAAAGTATCTCCCCACTAGATTCTTATTAGTTAAAAAAGGAAATTGGGTAACTTTACAATGAAGACACCTAACAAACACCACCCTTGGCCAAGTGATCCAGCATCACCCATAATGGCTCAAATAATGTCACGTGCCTCCTGACTGATGCACTGGGAAGAACACAACGTCACTTTTGTGATGTTTCTGCCCAAACCACTGTATACCTGAGGAATGCAGATGACAAGGAAACATCAGACAAACCCAAACTCACTGACATTCTACAAAATAACTGGCCTATACTCTTTAAAAATATCGAAGTAAAGAAAGACTGAAGAATTGTTGCGACGACTCAAGAGACGTCGCAACTAAAGCAACATACGATCCTGAATTAGATCCTGGACTAGAAAATGTTTTTCTTTTGCTGTAAAGGACAATAGGGGACAATTGGCAGGAATTGAAAAGAGTCTGTGGATTAGTTAGTAGTTTTATACCAATACCAAATTCTTGATTCTGGTCACTGTATTGTGTTTATGTAGGACTGTGTTCTTGTTTTTAGGAAATATGTACTATGTTTCAAGCACTTAAAAATTAGAAAATGGGTACTTAAACAGATGGTTACAAAGATAAAGCAAAGGTGATATTTGGGAATCATATTTGGGAATCTACATGAAGTTTATACAGGATTACTTTGAATTGTTTTTCCAACCTTTCTGTAAATATGTAATCATTTAAAATAAAAGTGTGTGGTTTTTTTCTTTTAAACTTATACTTCTGGTTTCTGATTTTGTACATAAGGAGACTGGAAGTCACTACTCTGTCCTCATAACAAGTAAAAAGCTATAAATTAACAACTCTTCTTAGATTTTTGATGGGAGGACACATAGCAAACCTCTACCCTCTTGACTGGAGTGTCAGACAGGTGAATGCAGCAAGTCATGGCTTACAAGAGCCAAGACTCAGTAGTGGAGACTTGCACAGACCCCAGTGCCTATGTAAGAAAACACGAACTAGAATTCATAAATTAGTAGAGGCTCAGTGCAGAGAAGTCTAAGAGTTAAAAACTCTAAGGAGACTCCATCAGAGGGGGGACCCAAAATATGAGAGTTCCTTCCATGAGGCCAACCAGGTTTCCACAGTAAATATCAGAGAAAAATCACCCCCTGCTTCTGGCAGAGAGTGGGGTGGTTGAGGTGGGGGGAACCATTTTGGAACATGCCAGAACACTCAAGTTCTTAACAAGGCCTGCCCCTCAGAGAAAACTAGTTAACTAGAGCCTAACTGACCTGAAGGAAGAGAAATAGCCAAGTCTCGCCCATTCTAGACATCCTGGCCTGGCTTAACAGAGAAAAAAACAAAAACAAAAAAAACTGAGAAACACTTGGGAAGTTCACACTCGTGATGCACAAGCAAGGCTCAGTAAAAGACTGAAACCTAATTGTGGGAACAGAGAGTGGCTCCCCTGCCCCCACACCTTACCACCACATTACTAAAGTCTTATTTATTGCAGACCCGAAGGGTACAATTCCATCAGTTTTGACAACTACATGTACCCCCTATCAAGACATAGAAATTTTGATCAACTTCAGAAGAGTTCCCTTGTGCTCCTTCCTAATCAAACCTGCCCCTACCTGCACCCCTACCCCTCCTGCCCCAATAACCACTGATCTGATTTTCTGCTTGTTAAGGACTGCCTGAAATTCCAGGACTAGAAATTTATTCCCTGTGAGTTTTTTAATTGACTACTTGAAGAAGAATCTTTTAAATGCAAATAGGCCTCACAACAAAGAACAGGGAGGAGAATGCTGGGGTTTGATCTCAATTTTCCCTTTATTTCTCAGTTCTACTTTCCCTAGAGTTTTGTACAGTGGAAGAGTTTCGGCTACATGAATCACATCTAGCGAGGAGGCCTTGAAGACTCTAACAGGGTGAGGTAAAGTATTCCAAACATTTCCAAAGCCAAACTGGAACTGCACACTGATTAATCTGCAGAGGGGCCAGCCTAAAGCTCCAACTCTTCTGGTTTTTTTTTAGGCTGAAATTAGCACCCAAGGTGCTAACACTTGTTCTTTGGTGTTGATGTTAATTTCTGATTGCTTATGAAAGTATAGCATTTCTGGAGCTCATGACGGTAAACATCTGAAAAGGTTCATAGGTTTTGTATGGGTTGATCTTTAAGGGTCTGCAGCAGCAGTTTACCAAGCCCAAATGGACTAAGGCATAGAGTTGCTCTCTGTCATATACACTTTATTGGGATAACTGAAAACATATGAATGGTCGATTAGACAAAAATATTGCATCATTTTAAATGTCTCAAATTTGATGACTATACTGTGGTTATGTAAGAAAATGCCCCTATTCTTAGGAAATACTTAAGAAATAAGAAGAGATAAAGGGAATGATAAAAGGATAACCCTTCAATGGTTCAGAAAAAAATAAGGAATATGGGCATGCACGAATAGAATCATAAACAAATATGGTAAAAATGTTAAGAATTTGGGAATCTGGATAAATGATATATGGGAATTATATGTATCACTCTTGTAATATTTCTATAAGTTTAAAATTTTTATAATTGAAAGGTCATTTGAAGTATATGACTAAAGATTTTACTAATTCAGATTGTTCTTGTCCAATTAGTTTGAATTAGTAGGAAATGGCTCTAATTTATTAAGTAGTAACTGGAAGCCTGTGAAAACTTCCTATACCAGTGCCCACAGAGCCCCTGTCAGAGAACCATATGCCCGAAATATCTGTTATAAGATTCTGTTGCTTCTGACTTCTATAAATTTGAGGATGTATGTTTGGGGAAAAGAGCAGAAGTTTCCTGCTACTTAAGTCTAGAATGAAACAGAACTCATGCACTTTATATTTCAGAGCTAATCAAGTGGAAACACAATGGGGAAATCCAGGTCAACTATAATTCCCATCATGACTAAGCAGCATAAAGACTCGGACTACAGTGACCTAGAACTGACCTCAGGGAGAAATCAGTCAAAACAGGATTATTCATTTCCAGGATTCTTGGTAAGTTTCACTCATTCATAAATCTTACCATTTATGATAAGCATAAACCTTGGTCACTACATACATTTTACATTTGGACAAACATAGTACAGGACCAAGCTATTTCTCTGGACCGTATGTATTGTTTATATATTCTTAAGAAAGAAAAGTCTAGACAGAGAAACAATTTGCCAAGTATTCAGGGAATGTGTATGATCGTCTTAAATCTGAGCATCAGACGTTAAAAATCTAGCACACTCATTATGTGCCTCGGATTTCTTAGCTCTGGAAGACAGCATATTCTGCAAAACTTATCCTTTCAGGGGCCCTGGGTGGCACAGTCGGGGAAGTGTCCAGCTCTTGATTTCAGCTCAGATATGATCTCAGAGTGGTGAGATCAAGCCCCACGTCAGGCTCACATGCTGGACATGGAGCAATCTTGAGATTCAATCTCTCCCCCTCTCTGTCTGTCCCCCCCCACGAAATCTATCATTTCATTTTTATTAACTAAGAAAAAGAACAATATGCTGGTTTCCTTCAAACCTGTTCAATCCCTTTGGTCAAAAAGGCAGGCATGCTTTCATCTGAGAAATGAAATCTTAGAAGTTGTCTGGCATTCTTCACAGAGTGCCTAAGATCCTTGATGTTTTGTAGTACGGTAATTTTTTTTTTTTTTTTTTTTTTGCTTTTCTTTATTTCTTTGTTCCTCAAACACCCCAAATAGTCTCCAGCCTCAGGATCTTTGCACTTGCTATTGTGTAGTTTGAGTCTCTCTCTTTCCTTCCTTCCTCCCTTCTTTATATTATTCACAGTAAAAAAGAAGTCACTACACTGTAAGTCAATTCATTTTAAATAATGATGAATAGAAATTTCATCTCTGATGATGTTGGCTGTATGATTTTCAGCAAATAGTTTATTTCTGAGTCTCAGTTTCCTCATAAATAGAGCTTCCTAAGAAGGGCCAGTAGAATAGTGAGGGATCAAGAAGCCACATGACTGAGAGAATTATTTAGGAAAACTGGAATATCACTACATACCTATGAAAATGGCCAAAATCTGGAACACCAACGCCCCAAATGCTGGTGAGAATATATGGAACACCAGGAACGCTCATTAATTACCGGTGGGACTGTGAATGGCACAGCCACTTTAGAAGACAGTTTGGTGCTTTCTTACAAAACCAAACAGAACCCTCACCATAGGATGCAGGAATTATGTTTCTTGGTATTTACCCACCGGAGCTGAAAACTTAGGTTCACAAAAAAACCTGCACATGGATGTTTATAGCAGCTTTATTTATAACTGATGGAATGTGGAAGCAGGTTGTCCTTTAGTAGGTGAGTGGGATAAATAAACTGTGGTACATCCGAACAATGGAATATAATTTAGCGCTAGAAAGAAAAGAGCTATCAAGCCATGAAAAGACATGGAAGGAGCTTAAATGCGTATTACCAAGTGACAGAGGACAATCTGAAAAGGCTACATACTATGTGATTTCAACTATCTGACATTCTGGAAAAGGCAAAATTATGAAGACAGTAAAGACCAGTGGTTGCCTGGGGTTGCATGGGGGAGGGGGGGGATGGTGAGAGTTGGGAGAGATAAACAGGCAGAGCACAGAGAATCTTTAGAACAGTGAAAATATTCTGTATGATACCATAGTGATGGACACATGTCATTTATACATTTGTCTAAACCTATAGAATGTACAACTTCAAGAGTAAATCCTAATGTAAGCTATGAATTTTGGGTGATGACTATGTATCAATGTAGGTTTACCAATTGCAACAAATGTACCACTCTGGTGGGGGATGTTGATAATGGGGGAGGCTATGCATGTGTGAGGACAGGGGATATATGGGAAATCTCTGTATCTTCCCCTCAATTTCTCTGTAAACCTAAAACTGCTCTTTAAAAAAAAATAGTCTTACTTTTTAAAAAGTCTGGTGCATAAAAAACAAACTTTAAGGGCAATTAATGTTCTTAAGTAAGTTGAAAAGTGTTAGAATTCAGTTTTATTCTCCACTACCCTTCAAAGAGAAAACTTTCAAGAAGCTAAAAAGGAAAATGAAATCTCCCCTCCCTCATTCCACTAACATGGATTGCCTACGGATTTCTTCTGAAAGATTCTTTTGTTCCCTACACCCACTGACTTTTCTGGGTGTTCTTTAATGCTGCCCCCTACGCAGAAAGAATCTTTACCTCTTTATCCCATAAGCCAACTCTGTGTCCTCTTTCAGATTTCCCCTTAGGGTTGACTTCTTCCAGAAATTCTCACTCATGTCTAAAACTTAACTTCCAAATTTGAAAAGAGGTTGCATCTAATATAGTTTGTAAGAACTGTAATTGCTTTTCTTATTTTCGCCCTTTTGAGGGTGATACATAGCATATCCTTTTTGTGACAGACTCAGTGAATAAGATATTTATAAGAGAATTATTATTTTTTTAATGAAGAAAGCAATGAACTGAATGTCAGGACTCTCTGCTTTGTTTTTTGAGGCAATTGCTTTACCTTTTGGTACTCTATTTTCTCAACTCTAAATTAAGTATGATGGATTCTGTCCTTTTTATCTCTTAATATTAGGACTCCAAGACTTGCTATAAAGAAAAGTGATTATAGTTGAAGGCTATTTTTATTCAAACTAAGACCACCAGAGGGTGGCCAAGCTTTATCCCCAAACCTGGATTCTATATTTCACTAGCAACAGTAATGTTTGCTTCTAATAGTGAGTTCAGGTAGCATCACAATCCAAAGCTGAATTCAGAAAATAAATGTTGCTAAAAATCACGCTCCTCAAGAAGAAAGTTAATGGTGCCACAATATTAAAAGAGAAGTCAAAGGACATTGGGTTGGTTTTCTTTACTATATTACCACTTGATGATAAGATCTTTATCCAAAGACTAAGAATATGCAGTAGTTTTCTTGAATTTATGCATTATAATTGAAAAGATTAACACACCCCCATGGTTAAAAATTATTCAGAGTATACAGTGAGAAGTAAGTCTCCTTCTGACTCCAGACCCTCTAATTTTTTCAGTTCCCCTCCTCAGAGAGAATATATTGCATACTGAAAAGAAAGCAAAGTGCAGGACAATGCTTAGAATTAGCCACAATTTGTGTTTTTAAACTATGTGTATAAGTGTTTATATCCTGCTTGTAAATTCATAGAATGTCTCTAGAAAGAAATACAAGGAGACTGGTAATAGTGGTTGCCACTGGGAAGAATAATGGAGGCACCAAGACACAAGATAGAATCAAGACTTACTAGTCACTATAAATATATTTTTTTACTTTGTAAGTTTATACCATATACAACCAGCAGTTTAAAATTCCCACAGTGTATCTTGGAGATCATTCCATATCTACACATAGTTCTGTCTCAAGCTTTTTAACAATACACAGGATTCTTAATCTTCTGGAAATTACATATATTCAGCTTTACCCAAAATAATATTGCTGAGAATGGGCTTTGGAACTAAGAAGATCAGGATTGAAATCCAGGCTTCGTTACCGACTACGAGTACAACTATGGTCAAGTTATCTTTACTTTCATTTCCTTCTCTGTAAGTGGATATAATAATAGTGTTTAGGGCTGTTGTGAGGATTTACCGAGCAAATTATGCAGAGGACCTAGGATTATGCCGGGCACAGAGTAAGCTCAGTGAAGTTTAGATTTCTTCCTCTGTTGGTTTATAGAAAAAAAAAAAAAAGATTAAATGCCTAAAATAGAAAGACAAAGTTGTGTTTTTATTGTCATTCTTAATTATAATTGTCTCTGTTGTTTGTAACAGACTTCTGCTCTGAATAAATAAATACTGGAGAGTGAGTGTTGAACTAAATGTGTACCCTGTGAAAGGAAGCTTTTCTTTTCATTCTTAGCCAGTTAAATGAGGGAAATTAAAGAGCTTGGAGCAATTACCCAGTCTTATTGTCAGCTGAGCTATACAATTTGAATAAGTTAGGTCCCAAATAAGGAAGCTATGTGAGACTTTAAACTGACCTATAGCATATGTAACTTATCACCTATGTCACCACAATGATCAAGACAGGATTGTAGAACATTGTGCTTCATGTTACTATGTCTGAATGGTGTTCTTTCATCTCCGAATTTATATGTTGAAGCCCCAACCTTGGAGATGGAGCCTTTAGGGAGTAATTAAGGTTAAATGAAGTCACAAAGGTGGGGCCTAATCCAGTTAGACTAGGGTTCTTTTTTTAAAAAATTTATTTAATTTTATTTTTTCAGTGTTCCAAGATTTATTGTTTATGCACCATACCCAGTGCTCCTTGCAATGCCTGCCCACCTTAATACCCACAGCCAAGTTCACCCATCCCCCAACCCCCCTCCGCTCTAAAACCCTCAGTTTGTTTCTCAGAGTCCACAGTCAATCATGCTTTGTCTCCCCCTCCAATTTCCCCCAATTCACTTTTCCTTTCCTTCTCCTAATGACCTCCATGTTATTCCTTATGCTCCACAAGTAAGTGAAACCATATGATAATTGACTCTCTCTGCTTAACTTATTTCACTCAGCATAATATCTTCCGGTCCCATCCATGTTGATACAAAAGTTGGATATTCATCCTTTCTGATGGAGGCATAATACTCCATTGTATGTATGGACCATATCTTCTTTAACCATTCGTCTGTTGAAGGGCATGTTGGCTCTTTCCACAGTTCTGCAATTGTGGCCATTGGAGTTCTTATAAGAAGAGGAAGAGGGGCACCTGGGAGTCTCAGTCGTTAAGCATCTGCCTTCAGCTCAGGTCCTGATACCCAGGTCCTGGGATGGAGCCCACACCAGGCTTCCTGCTTGGCGGGAAGTCTGCTTCTCCCTTTCCCACTCCCCACGCTTGTGTTCCTCTCTTGCTGTTTCTCTCTCTCTGTCAAATAAATAAATAAAATCTTAAAAAAAAAAAAAAAAAAAGAGGAAGAGACACCAGACACTCTCCTTCTCGTGCAGTCACAAAGGAAAGGCCACGTGAGGGTGCAGCAAGAAGGTGACTGCCTACAAGCCAAAAA